ATCATGAACAGTCACAGGAAATTAGTCACTGAGACCCTCCAGAGTCAGACTAATTAATGTATCAAAATACCAATGTTAGTATCATACTGAATTGTGAAAAAGTAGAAATTTTTCATTAAGTCTTGAAGTTAAGAGTCACCTCTCTTTACACATTGCAGCTTTGTACTTAAAGACTTAGCTAATACAGAAACAGAAGTATAGGATGAGAGAGAGAGAAAGTGAGAGAGAGAGAGAGAGAGAGAATGAGAGAGAGAGAGAGATGCCACTGTCGTTGTGTGAACATAACATGATTGTCTATGTAGAAATTATGAATCATTGTATGATAAGTCTTTCTAGCAAGGTGAATCTGGGATGATTGATCTGCAAGCCATTTGTTTTTCCATATATGAGAAATAGGCATTGGAAAATGCAATGAAAAACACACCAATTTCATTCAGGGCTCACCACCCTCACACCTGTCATGTTACTTTGCTGTTGTGAAGGTTTCTTTGATGGGGTTATTTACAGTGGTTAGCAATTGCTACAAATCAGAAATTTGTGTTAAGAAAACACTGTCCAAGTCCTGCCCACACTGTCTTGTGGGACAGTCCATATTCCATCAGTGTGTTAACATTGGCTTTATATTTCAAGAGAAACTCTGTGAAGAACATGTGTTGAAGACTGAAAGGATGGAGGGTCACAAGGAGTGTTTTGAGACATCATAGGCAGAGTGACTTTGAATTACGGGCTCTGACTTTCCTTGTCTTTTTTTGTTATTGAGGTACATTCTTTATTTCTAATTCAATAGAGAGACACTTCTGTCAATAAAATGTGACAATTTATTAAAATGGAAAATTACACATGGGGAGGGGGAAAATGTACAGAAATGAGCTAAGCCAGGCAGATGGGACAGGATATTCCCTCACTATATAGATCAATAAAGGAGTTGGTTCAGTCAGCAAACACCCACAGTAGGTGGAGGGATGTAAACTCATTTGCTGAGGAAGGATCTCATCACACCCAAGGTTACCTCTGCACCCAAAACACATTCGCTCCCTGGACATTCTCTCTCCAGTTCCTCAGTGTAAGAACTGGATTTTCTTACAGAATTCTTGGGATTGTCACATTTATTTCCCAGACTCTGGAACCTTGAGAGATGTACTTCTTTCTTCTCTGATTACTTCTCAGCTGCACGTTGGGCCCACCTCTGGCTGCCCCAAGCCTCAAAGACCAGAATCCCAAGGACTATGAGGATCATGGCAGCAAACCCCATTCTGATGAGATTCTCCACTGTGTGATCCTGGATCTCTGAGGCTGTGGTTGTGGACAAACAAGTTACAGAGGTTACTGATGGTCAAATGTTCTCAATATAACTATATGTTCCCAAGATAACTAAATGTCCACCCAGGTCCCCTGCCTTACTTTGACAAAACCTGGAGCCTCTGTTTCCAGTGTTATGACTTTAAATTATCTTTGTTCAACTGTGTTGGATTTAGGCATGTTCTGGGATGGACTGAAAATCTCAACTGATTCTGAGAACAGAAGAGGAGAAATAGGATGTGTGCATGCTTAAGAGAGCTGCAGGATGTTTCTTCTGTATTCTACTTTCATTTATTGTAAATACAAATAATTCTTATCCTAAAAGCTCATAAAGTCTTAAATGAATCTTTTCACTGTTATAGCTGGGCTCCCTGTCTTATTTTTTTTAAAAAAATACATTCATTTACTTATTTGTTTGGTTATGTTACATCCCAGCTACAGTTCCCGCCATTCTTCTCAGTCACTCCTCCTCAATCCCTCTGTTCTCACTCTTGAATCCACTCCTCCATTTCTCCCATGAGTATCAACAACACATGATGTATAGTCGAGGTAAGACTG